TGATCAGATTCTCTGTCTCAGGCATTTGAACCTTGAATGGAGACCCTAAGGTCAGAGGACAGATAGTGCTGAATCATCAGATGGGGATATTCTAGAAGCTCTGCCCCTGGAAACTCTGGGTTCAGCCCTGGTCTCTGACCTCCTGAAGGCTTGGGTGGATGTTGAGCTCTCTCTTTGATCCTTTGAGCTTCTCAGCGTTCTTCCAATAAGTGTCCAAGCCCTCCTTTTTTTTTTTTAAAGAATCTTTTTCTTGCTAATAAAGAAATTATCTTATTCTTTTTCCCTTTAAACTATTATTTACCTATTGATAATTGCCCTTTTTTTTTTTTTTTAGGAACAAATATGATTTCCACTAAAATATTATTTCTGATACGATTTTTTTCTTGGTGTGGATAGAAAAAGGAGGTTTTTTTCCTTACTATTAAAATACCACTTTGGGAGGTGGAGGCAGGAGTATCTCTTGAGGCCAGGATACTAGTCTGGGCAGCACAATGAGATCCTGTCTCTACAAACAATCAAGATAGAGGAGTAGCTCTATCTTGGTGATTATTGTAACCCACCTCTCTCTCTGGCCCCACTTCTACTACCGTGTTTAATGTTAACAGAAGTGGCAGAGACGGCCATCTCACAGGACGAAGTGTAAGGAGAAAATGTGTTGGGAGCTTTTTTCATTTGCACTGCATGTTCCAGTAGTGCCACTTTTATTGATCTTTTTTTGTTTTCTTCCTTATTATCAGTTATTGTCAGTATGAATACTCTTCAGCTTATGAGCTTTATTTTCCATGAAATCATTTATATGTGATGATTTATTTTAATGACATGATCCTGATGATAGTTGAGATTGCTTTTCTTACTATTAATGTTAAATATAAAGGTACATTTTTCTAGAATGTACTTTGGGTGGATTATATTCAGGGCTGTTTTCAAATACGGGCTAATGTTGAGACTCTCAGGGTCTACCTCTTCACTGAGAAGTGGCATGGTTTTCACTGGCAGAAAGGAATTAGGAGAATATCAAACTCTTTCTGTACAGGACATTCTGAAGTTGGCATATCAGAAATTATGTTTATCAGGTTCTTGACACAGTTGACTCTGTGACTTTTATCTAGTGCTAGCCAGATCTACTGCTATTTGTCTTTAATTCATAGGGGCAATATTCTTAGCATTGTTTTGTGATTTAAAGTTAGACTTTAACACTTTTCAAATAACACTGAGAGTAGTTTTATATATGAAAGAGCTCATGAGCCGGACTTGGTGGCTTAGCCTGTAATCCCGCGCCTTTGAGAGGCTGAGGTGAGTGGATTGCCTGAGCCCGCGGGTTCGAGACCCGCCTGGGCAACTTGGCGAGACCTCACCTCTACAGTAAATAA